CCCCCCCCCCCCCCCTCCTAACTCCATATTATCCCTTCAACCGTGTTGTGAAAGCAGAACGTAAGGTGTGATGTGTGCTTTTAATGCAGGAATGACTTCTGACCGAACGAGATCAGTGAATGAAATGAGCTTTAATAGTTGATTAGCTAAAAAGGCCTCAGTTGCTAGACCGCTTCGTGGACTCCACAGCCTAATGACCGAAATTTTATAATGGTTTCATAGGAATTACTTGAATGTGAACTTCAAGGTTATTTTGAAATTTACAATTTGGGCTTAATAACTGCAAATTTCTGCGTGTTCCTTTTGATCTTTTCGTGGGTAATAACAGCAATTGTTTTAAGAGATTTGCGTTTAAGTTGTAAAGATTATAGGATAATAAGAATAAACTAAAAATTAATTTAATTTAAATATCTTAATTTCCTCAATATTTTCAGTAAAATATTGCGTCGATTAGGAGATATGTGTAGACTGCAAATTATCGCTAATACATGTTCATTTATTCTTAGATTTAGCTGAATTGACTTCTCCACTAATAATACTACGGCTTTCAAAATAATTTAAAAAAAATGGTTTGCACAAGACGGCAATTCTCCCGTCTAAAGAAACGTCTTGTCCTAGCATTATCGAAGAGGACAAATAAGTTAATGACTTTTGCTCAGACTTGCAATTTACAAGTTTGAAATCATTTTCCCAGATAAAAATCATATTTTTAAATAAGTATTTCACCTCCCCCTCTCTTATGCAAAGCACCGTTCAAACTTGCTATCAGATATTTCGAATAGGGTTGGCTAAATTTAATTGCAGTTGAAGGCATAGTTTTTTCCTATGAGTCATATTGTAATTCAGTTATTACTATGAGAAATCATTTGATAATCAATCTAAATCAGACATCCGTTGGCTTAACGCTTTTTCCACTTTAACTAAAATTCTCTTTTGCAATACAGGAACTAAATCTCTCAAATGAGACGTTAAGGCACGTGGCAATAAAATACAGTCAACACATAAAAAAGCACAAAATTTGAATGCAAACATCAAGTTTTTAATTTATTTTTGCCTTAACTGTACGCTAATGCAACTCCAACAATTTTAAATTCATTTTCTTGGCTTAGGAAAAGCATGCAATTAAACAAGAATCAAAAGGGGGGTTTTATGTTAATTTCATTTGTATTGTAGAAAATCTTGTTAGACGAGGAGGATAATGAATGTAATTTCACACGAAGACCATCTACTCTACGTCCTCACACGCTCCGGTTGTGAAGAATCCCGATTAGAAGCCGATGAATACAAAGAAATATTTCAAGTGTACAAAATACTTGTACTATTCATTGCTCCAGTAAATATCCTCCTTAACGGAATATCTCTAAACATTTTCGGACACCGCATGTGGAAAAATAGCTCAACCAGTGCCATTTTGAAAAGCCTCTCCGTATTCGAAATCTGCTTTGGTAGCAGTCTCTTCCTACATACAATTAATAGTCGAGTTTTGGAGACTTACACACATTTGGATAATCAAACCGCTGCCACTCTAACCGACAAAGAGCGAATGACACGAACAAAACTAGTAGCCAGTATGACTGTATCGCATCAAATTCTAAGCGGATTTCTTTTTGCTTTTCAAGTTGCACGAAACTGGTCTGTAGTACTTTTGGCCGCTTACCGATATGACGCAATCTGTCGAAAGCTTGGCACCGTTTCTTCATTTCCAAGAGAAAGAATTCCCTGGATTATGACGGCTACAATGGTTTTATCGGGCCTGTTTGCTCTACCCCGTCTCTTTGAAATAAAAAGTTTCATATGTGTTCCGACTGTTATAATCTACAATGAGGAGCCATTGCTTGCCAAAAATTTAATGTATCAACTCCTCTATCTTGGCATCGGAACGTTCATCGTACAGTCTGGAGGACCTGTGCTCTGTGTGTGTATACTCAGTTTCTTTGTCATTCGAAAAATTGCCCTGCGTCGCAAATTCAGACGACAAAATAAACGAACCGTTTTTATTCTATCCAGTGGTAATGAAGATAATTCATGCGTTGAACCGCAAACGGCAACTAAAACGGTTGAAAGAAAGTTGCCGTCTGGTGATAAACTGATGTTGGCTTTGTGTTTTATGTTCTTTGTCCTTGAGACGCCGGCTTTCTTCAGCAAAATTCTCAGCTCCTACACTTCCACGAATTATCCAACACTAGATGTATATATGTCTGTGATTGCAAATTTTCTAATTTACCTAGACTCAACTGTTAACGTCTTTGTATATATGGGCTCCAATCCAACATTTCGAACAGTTGCAAAGTTGATGTTTAGCCGTGGAACTAACGGCTCACAAGCCAAGTCGAATATTAGCAGAAGTAGAGACAGTTAAAACTTTCATTCTTACATTATCTAAAATTAATCTCAATAACATTATTTTTTTGTTTTTCTTTTCCAGCTTCTGATGCGTGATGAAAGTCCACATTTCGATGGAACGGATATATGGTTTCATAATTTGTTGAAACACATTTGATCCCTGTTACCTGAACCCGTCTTTTGTTATACCGAAGTTAGATGAATTAAAACACCAGTTTATTTTCTAATAAATCTTCTTTTTCAATATGATAAGTGTTTTTTGAGTTGTCTACTCTGATAATTTTTTAAGATTTACAGTTATTCAGGGTCTAAGCAAACTTAAAATTGCGTAAAAATATTTTAAGATTTCGGCTAAATTAACGGTGTATATTATTATGGGGCATTATTATCGTTTCAAACGGCGCAGCAAAATATTCTTCACTGGCTTTAATCAACTTAAAAATACAGGAAACGGTAGTCAACATTAATTGAATAATTAATACAAGATAGTAAAAGTCTTGATATAATTAAATTAAGTTTCTGATTTTGCAATGCACATTCTTTGTTTTACTTAACTCTTAGTTTAATAAATAAGATTATTCCCTTCCATTCAGGGTCTCATGAATTAATGAATCTATTAGTCGTGCCTTTAAAATAATTGCTACCCAGAACAATGAAATGGCAAATTAGCAACAAAGGAAGCGACCATTAGACTGTAAGACATTACGGCGAAAAATAATTAGGGTATCTTACCTGTGCCACAAATTTCCACTGTGCCCTAAATTAGAAGATGAGGGAGTGAAATTACCTATTTGTAATTTATTTTGAATCAAATAAGTCAAAACGAACAGGTGGCTTAATAATTCCTTTTAGCAATCGAAGAATTTGTGCTTAGTGGTTAGAGATCTTATTGGCGACTGCGATGAAACATCAAAATGCTGGTAAGTTATAATTGATTTTTTATAAAAAATATCTGTTCAATTGTTCCTTGTAAACAAAAATATTTATTTCAGCTTTCTTAAATTAGACATCTATGAAATATTCATAAATTCTCAATGCATTGACTTTTGGCAATTGCGCTAATTTAAATTATATTTCCAGTATCAATTAAATTTATTAATAAAAATACTATTACTTTGATCTCTGGTCCGACTACAGTGCAAATGATTAGTAATATACGTAGTAGCCAAAAAACAGCAGTGTTTTTGGTGAATAATTGTATATCAGATTTAGTAAAACTTTGAAATGTTTTTCAGAACGCAAAGTAAAACGCAATTAATCTTTTAAAACTGAACCTTTAAAAATTACAGAAGAATTGCACCACCTGACTTAATTTTTAAATCAAATTAACTTTAAATCAAAAGGGGGGGAGGACCAATGCTATAGGAAGGGCGGAGGAAGTGTTACTTTTATTAATTGATTATTGCTATTAATTTAAAAAATAGTTAATTTTTAATACAAAGGGTCGCCAATGCATGCGGTGCCATGGTGTAGTGTTTACACGTGATTTAGAATTAGATACATACATGTTATTTTGAACTGTCGACCAATTAGAAGTCAAATCATCTCAAATTTATATGAAAAGCACAAAATCAAAACCTTCGAATTCCCAGTAGAATAACCGTATCTTGAGCGAAATGAACAGTAAAGAAAGGCTATACCTAGTCGCTTTCTATTTTTAAAGTGCTACAAAATGATGGAATGATTTAATCAACTTACATCCCAATGACATCCGATGTTTTGCTATTACGAGCTTAACAAAAAAATTCATTTTAAAAAATTAGCAATACATATGGTAGAGAATTTAGCTATGCTAGTGCAGATATTTGTACAAACGGCTAGACATTGCACGAAGATGTCAATGCCAATTCCGTGGGAAAATTATCAATTATTTTGACGTGTAGTTAGCAAAGTTGTCATCTCTTCATACTGGGGATAAATATTTATTTATTTATTTCAAATGACAGTCGTTATGATAGTTATCATTAGTCATTTAGCAGACTTAGAACTTCACAGAGCGGAGGAACAGACAGTCTCAAAATGTTAAGAAGGGGGAACAGAAGAGTGATTCACAGATGTAAAAAAGACAGATGGACACAAATGCAGAGAAAAAGTAAGATGAGTACTGTGAAGGGATCGAAGTTGACATACAGGGGGGTCATGGTAGTTTGAAGTCAGAAGTCAACTGCCGAATAATAGACTTTTTGGGGCATGAGTATACGTTGCCCAGGGTGTGCCATGTGAATATAAGATTATCGCGCACCCCTGGTGAAAAATATTATATCGGGATTTAAAGTTAACTTATGACCACATCAATATTAAAACTCGATTTCTAATTTCTCTTATATTTATCAAGATAATTGCATTATATTACTTCTTTGGTATTTAATGCAATGACAATGTCAAAAGTATTCAAGTACAAATGAAGAATATCCATAATGTATCTTTTCAGAAATCTAAAAATATT